TCCCTTCAAATGTTTCATTAACTGTAGTCCCAAAGTGTACTTTGTCGGTAACAACTACTTACTAATGAAACACAACTTTCAGCTAGAACAATAATTTACCACACTATGTGAATTCATGCAAAAGAAATGTATAATATAAGGTTTAAATACAATACTTCCAAGGAAACCTCTTATAATTATGTTAATTATGCTTATTAACACTGATTTTTATCCTTTTTTCTACCTTAAGGATGGTAGAAGTCATTGGTGATAACTGCACCATGACATCTGAATAAAGCAAGAACAGCAGTTTTAATGAAAACAACAGATTTTGCTCCACAGAGAAATTACAGGGAGAATTTATAATTCTCGGAAATATGTTGAAAACAATGGTAACCCTCAGAAATGCATTAACGAATACGGAAGATGTCAAGGCTCAAAAATCAAACAAATTACAGTGGGAAAAAGCTGTCTTCATTCAACTGGATTATGAAGGTGAGAATGTCGCAGCAATAATCAACAGAAATTAATTAATTCACGCTTACAGTAGTGCCATTACTAGACATCTCCTTGTTACGAGTCATGAGGTGTAAATCGCAAATGCCTTTAAAATTATTAACAAACAAAAAGGATAAATTCTCCTCAAGTTTGCCGAAGCAATAATCTCTTTCCTTGCCCTGGTAATTAGATGTCTTTATTCTCTCTTTTATTTGACTACGTAATCTTTGGCTTTAACCTCAACCCCCCTTTGATAGAGTGTAATTTTGCTTGTCTCTTTTTTCTATGATTCGAGTTGAACTCAGTACATTGTCACCCAACTTATCATCTTAGGCACCTCTTATATTTATTACGTAACCCCTTTACGATTGTATACATACACTTACTTTGTTTAAACTTGAACTGCCTGTGTAAAAGCTATGTAAGCGTAATTTCCTGAGCACTGTTCACTAAGTTCGGAAATTCCAATCAATTGATATCATGTGTGTTAAAACTTAATAATAATTTATTTCAGCCGTAAGCAGCTGATAAGAGGCCAACGAAATAAATGATGGTACCAAATTATTCTGCAAAAACTGTTGTTATTGACTTATTTAAATTCATAAAGAGAAATAAATGTATTAAGTTTCTGAAAAATCGCCTCACCGCAGAATCTACACTATGACAGTGAGTTTTCATTTAGCAGTAAAAGAGACTTAGAAGAAAATCACACTTACATAACATGCTAATAAACGAATAGTTTTTTGATTGCACACTAGTCAGTAACTAGTGTAATGTGTCTAGTCCTATCTTCGGTGCAGACTGAATTCTATCAGTCAGACTTGCAATGTGGCCACCATGCTAGGTGGTTCACCATTACGGTGCACTGTGAAATGTTGGTATTAGATGGTTGGAGGCAATCGGCAGGAATCCATGGATCTAAGTTCCGTGTTGGGTGACGCGGGTTCGAATTTCAGATGGGATATGAGTTCCTTCAAGGTTGCAGATACGCCTTGTTAATGAGTGCCAACTAGCACGAAACCTAGGTCCAAGGCTTCCTGCTGATTACCTCTAACCATCTAATGCAAACATATAGTTTACTTGATTTACAGTTGACATTAGTTTTTCTGTGTACTAGTGTTCACATGGAACAGCTAATTTGTTGAAACAGAAGTCATATTCTTATTGAGACTATCTGAAATAATCTTAGATTAGTAGGCTAATAAATCAGTAACAATATAATTACTTAACTTCTGAGGTTATCCGGCACAATATTCATACGAGTCAAGTTTATAACGATATTTTATAGAGAAATTCTTCTGCATTATGTAGTTTCAATAATGATGAATCTGAGATAGCTTTCGGCTGGTTGACGTAATGGTTGATGATTCAATAGTCTACTAACCCATGACAGTCTTAGATGGGCCCACTGTAATCTAACAACTTTCTCCGCTTCTAATTCAGTATGACTAGGATCGATAGGAGGAAACCTGGCACAACAACCAGTGTGCTGAAAAACAGAGGGTATCATATCCTCCTCTTACATGGTAGCCGGTGATTGCAGTGGAACGACTAAGTGGACCTTGTAACTCAGAGAGTAGAGAATCAAACCAGTAATTAGAATCCTGCCATGATCTAGATTTTCAATTCATCTTCAATCATCGCTCACTACACTGATTCATGTATTGCATAGGTTACAGTATTAATGGTTTGAAGGTGTTCGACGACTAAATCATCACTGGCTTCAAGTAAGTCACAAAAAATAAGAAACAAAACAGCTACAATTGACCAACTAGCGTCGTCGCCTAATTTTCTAATGATGTTTAACATAAGTTAGGATAAATGCTTCCTGTGAAGCTTTTGTTACCTTTAAACCGAATATTTTGGAGTGTAATAAGTAGTATGTTATTTATCGTTACCTATTCCTTGCATTCCGAGTGAAGCACAGGGCTTCAGCAGCATATCTTCGTTGAAATCTGTGCTTTGTCATCATTTTTAGCTGGTTTGACAACTCCCCATGAGATCTCATTTCCTATTCACATACTCTCCTTCATGTCACCCTAGGTAGTATTTACGGGCGAGTTGTAGGTGGTGATTAATTCACTGAAGTGATTAGCCTGACATTTTTTGTGTTCCACCTCCTTGGTAATTGAGTTTCCTTCATTATATTTCATTGGCTTCATTTACATGGGTCAGTTCACCGTTGAGAACCTCGTCACTTGACATAGTGTTGTGAGGTCTCTTTTACCTTCAGTTAAGCAGGTGTGAAGCAGGAATTATTCTTTTCTTGAAAATCAAGCATTATGGTTTATTCCACTTGCTTGAGATGGCTATACATGTTCTGAGTATAAATCTTACATCAGTTTCTTTATTTTCTGATGCAAAAAGGTTGTATCTGATATCCTCTGCATCCGTCTGTAAATTTCTAGTCGTAAGCTAAGCAAAAGGGTGTGAAGTTAAGAGGGTGAATACTGTGCAGAAAATATTAGTAATATTAGTCATTTTATCATGAATTAGCTGACCAGTGATCTAATGCAGTAAGTGCTGTATCATAGAAAAGAATCCATTTAAGTTTACTGTATTCTCAAACTGCTGAATTTTTACAATCTCTGGCTTTAATGTACAACTACATAATGAACAACGAACAAATCTTGAAAAAATGACTATACGATTGTCTTTTAACAAAATGTCCTGCATTTCTTAGAGACAAAGAAGAAATATCATAAGGGATTGATTTGTGTTTCAGGCCACGCAACCTAATATCAGACAATATTTTACTTGAATATCCTGGATGAAAGGAAAGTATTATGCAATGGATTCCTCTGAAAACTCTGTAGATTATATAAATAGTGTCCAGAATAAAGTTGTTATCATTATTATCACATACTTCACCAGGCATGCGATGGAAATGTGAAATGAAAATCTTTTGTAAATTTGTGATGTTTGGCGAAAAGGAGGAACACTTTTGCCGTCGTTTCCCCACATAAATCTGTTACTCCTCAGCAGGAATTATGATTTCCCTAGAGAAACATTCTCAAAATAATTCCGATTTTAATTTTCTAAACATCTATCGTTTACCTTGAATCAAATTTTGGTGGATAAGTCAGTCTCAGTACACGATCTTTGACAAGAGATTCGAAATACCGATATTTGCTTACTTATTCATACAAATATGTACATACTGTTTACTTCGTAACGCCACTATAATATAAACATTGTGGGCGGTTTTCATTGGTACGACTTCACAGATGACCCTTATTATACAAAAGACTTCATTTAATTGACCGCTAGACTGACTAACGAGTTAGCGTAAGACTATTGACGGAAGTAAGTCATTTCCAGACGTCACATTTCGAAAAAACACCTAAAGTTAGAAAAATGAGATGTAATAGTATCACAGTGGCGAAACATCAGTGTGAGACAGACAATTAAGATTAATGTAGATTTCCAGAACGTAGCAGATGACAAGGTGTCAGTATATCTGTTTCAGTAGGAATGATTTTGATTCATCGCACTAAGGGTCTTTTATATTCGATCCTTAGCATCACGAGAGCATCAGTTAAGTAGTCCACACTTCCAGAAATGACTCACAACAGCAGTCAACGGTTTCATTACTAATGATATGTTTCGGTCTGACTAAACTCATATTTTTTTCACTAAACCTTACTTGTCGAGGAAGGCTGTAGTTAGGTATGCTTAAAACATATCCTAGTCACTTCACTCAATGAAGATCTACGATCCTACTAACTGATTTGCACTACTTATACAACACTTTACGTATGCCCTGTACACTGCTTACGTGTTGCTACTACACGGACACTAACTGAACAAAGAAAACCATGGTCAAAAACCCTAGTATTCTGATATTTTGTTTCCATTTTCAGTTGCTGTGTGTCAGTAAACTTCGGAACATTTACCAAAACAAAGGCCTTCTGATGGACATTAAACAGATAATAAAGCTGTTGTATGCCAGAGAATTCCAAGCGAGACTTTCTTATTCCTTCTAAAATTTCTAATGAAACTGATGAACCTAAGATTGACGTAACTCCATAAATTAGCAAAGCAGTCAGCATATACAATCATTTCATTCCCACTTCTTAAATTGCAGGTTGCAGCAGACCAATCCTGCGGCCTCATTTTACATTTAACAGGGGCGAGTCACATACAAAATATTGTGAAGCCTGCGTTTAGGATGTTCAGATTTTTTTAAAGTATTCGCCTTCAGCAACTATATCATTTCTATATCCCAAGTGAACAAGATCTTTTCTTCATGAAAAGTAGTGTCTTGAAATATCGAAGTCAGCTATCAGTGTACCAACTGTAAAATTAAATGAATGGTGACAATAGGCATTTTTGACGGGTAAAAATTATTGTCATCAACTTCAGATGACAAATCTTCATTTGCACCAACGCAGCATAATACACTTTCTAAATGGAATAGAGATTTAGAAAATGAAAACAACAAAAATTTATTTCATTAAATCCGTATATTATATTTATATATAAACATACATTGTGTATATGTGTGTAAAAATATAAATAACTCAAGATACAGAAATTGAACCATAAACCTTATCATCATTCACAAAAAGTGGAAATAATTAAAAAATAATAAATAAATAACATATTTTTATTATCAGCTATTTGTTACACAAAAAGAAGGGAATGAATCAACACAAAGTTTAAGGATATGAAAAATATGAAGAGAAAACAAAAGGAAAGTTTGGTGCCTATTAGAAAAGTGGATTAACGACAACAGCAACAGCACCAACAAAAGAAATCATTCGATAATTTCAACTTTTATATCGTCTTTTAAAGAAAAATCGAAAACGGAAAGAATAATGTGTTAATCTGTAAAAATCTCTCTCCTTTTGCTATTGTATTTTTTTCCACTAAAAGAGATAAAACAATTAACGTTTTTGAAATTTACAATTATTATTCAGTAAATATATATATATATATATTTCCTAATGTACACGTAAGCATATTTGTTATAACCACCGAGATATGAACATCAGATTTACAGTACTCATATTTATTGATCATTTTGGCAGACTATGCATACATTTACCTACGTATGTGTTATTTTTAATTTTATTTTTATAAGTATTTAATTCTTTTATTCAGAAAAACAAATTTTTTAGGGTTTTGACTTCCTGTTGGTTTATCGTGGAAAAGGTGTCTTCTCTGTTTAGGATTCATACTACTTCAGTTATTCATAAGAATAATTTTACTAATCTTGATGATGAACTTTCTCCGTTTTTTCATTCATATCATTAAAGACTACTTTTAGTGAATTTTTCTTTTTTTATTAGGGTGTTTATTTTTAAATGTTTAATCTCTATATACGAGTAAAAAGAGGGGACTAAGAAAGACCAGAGAAAACCAGCTCATTGTACAGGTATTTTCTTCTTAATGTTTTTCTATCGTTAACGAGAAAGAGGCAAAAAAATTCAGATTGCGAAATAATACACACATAATACTAATAAGAGCCTATATACATATGAGTATATAAGCATAAGCCAATAGTTAAATAAACAAATGATTACGAACAAATATGACAGTGATTTCTACTACATTCTACAGACAAGAATTGTATATGATTGTTGATGCACTTCTATTAATGAAAGACTATTCAGCTACTCCTTTTTTCCTGTCATATTATCCTTCTACCTTTTTGTCTTTCATATTCATAAGAGTATTTTCTTAAATGAAAATAATTTATTAAACAGACAAAGTAACAAATAGCAATGGGATATTTTAGAAAATGCTAACTATAGACAGAAAAGACAAATAGATAAACAGAACCAAAGAAATAAATTTATCTAAATGTGAACAACTAATATAAAAATAAACGTTTTGAAAATAAGACGGTGAGAATTTAATCAACAGACTATTTATTAAAGAAGTTTTTCCAACCAACGATATCTAGACAACATGAATGAATCAAACCCAAACAGTAAATAAAGCCATGAAGGGTGAAAGTATTCATAATAACGAATGTCATCAATTGACTTTAAATGAAGTAATACTTCTAGCTCTTTTAATATGAAACTATAGGAACAATATTCAATTTTCACATAAAAAATAAACAAGTGAATTACAAAAAGTGTACTCTCTTCATTTCTACTTAATTTTGATACCTATTTAGAGTCATAAACATAAATTAATCATCGGAATCTGAGTTTAAACTATGTTTAACGCATTCATTTCCCTGTCTGTTAACTTCATCGACATCACTGTCATCATCCTGATACTCCTCATCTTCTTCGTCAAACTCGCCATCTTCCTCATCCTCTTCATCTTCATCATTGATATCACTTCCTTCAAAATTCGCATCATCACATTCATTATTATTATTATTATCCATTACGTCTTCAACACAATGAAAATCATTATTCACCATATTATCATCACTATTTTCACCATTACTCTCTTCATTCTTTATTATTCTTTGTTCATTTATTTGTTTCATTTGATCAATAAATTCAGTTGTTGCATAATAATTGCGTCTTGAAAAGTGATTTGATGCATGTAAACGCAATTGATTACATTCATCTAATGATAAATTTGTTTTCGTTAATAAATCTAATTGATGTTGCTGCTGATTAGTATCATTATTATTACTGTTTTCATGGTTATTGTCATTACTGGAGTTATTTATCAGTGGATTAATATTCTCATCATCATCACCATCATCGTCTTCATTGTCATTACCATTATTATTATTACCATTGATATTATTATTATTAGATTGTATGCCATTAGTATTATTATTATATCTAACTTCGTTTAGATCATGTGTTTCATGTGTAATTTTAGTACCTGAATTAGTATGAAAATGATTTAATTTTTCATTTGTTGTATGATTGGTATTACTCGTACAATTGATGTTCGATGTCGTATTATTCAGTGAAATAGCATTCGCTGCAGCTAATGATGAACATAGTTCTAAAGCTTGTTCAGTTAACGCTCTATGCCCACTAGTCATTGTACTTAAGAAACGATGATCAAATTGTGAGCTCCCAGTTAAATCATGCATTAAAAAATGATTTCTTAGTGTATTTGTTCCATTCATATTAGGTATATTAACATTCGGATTACTATTAGTATTACTGACATTACTAATACTATTATTTGTATTAGTATTGGGATGAAGTAAATTTATATGTGATGGATGATGAGAATGAAGGCTACCTGTTACAGGGAATACATAATTAATGTGAGAATTATTGTACGAGTAGACTGATTCACGTATATGATTATCTAAATTAATGTTACCATTTGAATGAATTTGTGTACAATTTTCATTACGATCTAAAGTATCCATGGGATATGTTAACTGATGTGATGACGCTGATTGTGATGGTGCTGCCGTTGCTGTCTGCCTATTTAAGGGATGTGATAGACCTTGTATATGATGGTGATTATGAAGTTGAGGTGGATGCTGAATTTGTGGTGGTAAATGTACTGGGTAATTATTTGGTAAATCTTGTGTACCTGTTTGTTGTTCTTGTTGATGTGATGTATAAAGAGCATTTGGAACAGCTGAATGACTATCAGCATTATTCAGCGCATTAAATGTATGATTTCCTGAATGGTTCAAATTACTACCTGGATTATTGCGTCTTTGCAAAGCAGTGAATAATCCATTGTTATTATTTGTTGATGTTCTAATAAGATTTATACTAGGCTTTGTAAAACTGCTACAAACAGCTAAACTATTATTATGTGTTATTCTTTCTAAGTCAATACGATTTCCTGAAATAAAGCTAATATCAGATGTTTTGTTTGTTGGAACTGGAGCAGAAGTCGGCAATGAATGTCCAAGTTGAGGTCTAGATGGTGGGGAATATGCAGTACAATTACCAGCATCTTCATCTTTCGCATAACATAAATTGTTGTTATTACTTGATTGTTGACCTTGCCCACTACGACTGTATGGAGAATCCGATGGAGAATTAGCTGTACTTGATGCCTTACTTGTATCTTCTTGCCACTTGTCTAATGACCGACGACGTGCATTCATAAAGAAATTTGCTACTGTTGAAACCTCTAATCCCAGTTGCTGAGCTATGGTGGACTATAAATTGTTCATTAAAAAAATAAAATTATAGTTAGAATCATATCCATCAAATATTTCATCAAAAAGTACCTTAGACTAGTCTTTAAAAATCAAATTATCTCCAGTAACTAGTACTCTACAATGTAGTTTTTAGAAATTGGAAAGCATTCACTTAATGGCTTTAGTTAGCTTATAATTTAATGAGAAAAAGTATATCAATTTATACTGCTACATTTCACAGTAGCATAGGAAACAAAAGCATATACAAATAAAATGACTTTAAGGGAAGCAAGAGGAGACAAAATACCTAAATGAAACTTGACATGAAAGATTCTTCGATAAACTCATACGGATATGTCATGTTCTCTTCATTTATTGAAGATAATGTTTGAAAATTAGACACTTTCTAGGTCTTTCCGTATAATTTAAAATGTTGTACGTTACTCACTTCATCTGTGATACATTTAATAGTATCCAGAAGTCAGTTGACTGAGAGTTCTACAATTAGGCTGCACGTGTAGGCACTTACCGGATTCATATGTCTGGATCCCCAAGAGTTCTTTGACTCAAATGTTTTAAATTGCATGGTTCAATGATTAAATGAAACAATATTTTGCTAAGCTGTTTAGGCCACGACTCACACACAATCTGTTGTCTTTTACTGTCTTCATTTCAATGCTTTCGAAATTCTCCGTCTTTCATTTAACACAGTGTTTGATTACTGAATAAAGTGAAAATTTTCCCATCAAGGGGTAATCGTATGTTTGTACACTTGTCTACTTAGTACAGAGATTTTAACTCCATTATGGATAAGATTTTATTTTGATAGATCACACAGTGTTGTACAGTAATATTAACTGATGACGTTTCGAGAACAAACTATTGCTCATAATCACTTCAAGTTACTCACACAACTGTTTTTCTTCATTTATATACATGTGTGGAATCGATTAGATATTGGATTAAAAATCAGTATGAAATAATGTACATTCAGAAATAATATTACGAGTGTTATTGATCAATAAGACGAGTGTTTTTACAGTCATAATAAGCTACTTGTTAGAAGGGGGGAGGATAATAAATAATCTCAAAATTCTATTTCAATTCAAACACATCACAACATTCTAACAAGTAGCTTATTATGACTGTAAAAACACTCGTCTTATTGATCAATAACACTCGTAATATTATTTCTGAATGTACATTATTTCATACTGATTTTTAATCCAATATCTAATCGATTCCACACATGTATATAAATGAAGAAAAACAGTTGTGTGAGTAACTTGAAGTGATTATGAGCAATAGTTTGTTCTCGAAACGTCATCAGTTAATATTACTGTACAACACTGTGTGATCTATCAAAATAAAATCTTATACATAATGGAGTTAAACTCTACCATAGTGCCCAAGTTTTATACTTATATCAATAATACAGAGATTTTAAATTCCATAATTGTTTGCTTTACTGGATAGAATCACTACCAGAATTTTCTCTATGACGAATTTCACTGTCTTTTTAATTAAATATAAATTAAATATAAAAAAACTATTACATACTTCTAGAATGTAGATCTTACGGAGTAAAAATAACATGCTAAATTCTTAAACGGAAAGATATTTTTTCTAAATTATTATCTGATTACTATTTACTATTGCATACATCTCAATCACTATCGGAGTCATGGATATCTATTCTGATATACTTGGTACAAACCATGTGAATGAAATCCAACTTAGGACTAAAGATGAATTAAAGCGTTCAGTATTCAACAAACTATTTAATAAATTTTGTCATCTCATCATTCAGATAACATAGCTTTAGAAATTAAGAATTTATAGCTTAGCAGGGTGATTTCAAGAAGACCGAATTGAAAAACTGAAAGAATCTGTTAAAAACTAACATTTAAAACAGAATAAATAGTTTTCTCTTTAATATCACTTGAATTTATGCCTAAAAATTACTTCGTTTTTACATTTATTGTATCCTATTCACATCGAGTTATGGTGGAAAATATTATCAGAATATATAATAAGACACTTCAAAACACCTTACTCCTACTTAAAATTTTTATTTCGTTTTGCTGTCGCTACGAATTATAATAACAACAGAAACATTACCGTCATCATAATCATAGTCATTGTTGTTGACATAATGGTTATTTCATAGGCTTGTGAACTAAACATAGATGCAAACATACGAAATAACAATGTTCACTGTTGGCCACGTGTACGTTTTTTCATAAATTTTTACATTAATACCTAAATACATACATACATATATATATCCACATACACGAACTTATGTATGTATAGTGATAAATACAGTCTTACGACTTTTGTATACAGTCAGCTAATACAAAAAGTATCTCATTTAAAATAAAAATAAGAGAAGAAATAAAAAATACGAATGAATAAATGAAGACAGGATAGTGAGAGAGACAAAAAGAGGAAAAACAAGGTGATAACTTGATTTTCAAGAGTGTGGTCTTAACTTGCGTGAGCCAGGTGTATTGTTCAAAGACAGATTCCCACGAAAAGCGTAATTTTTATACCACTATTAATATTATTGTTACGACTACCATCACCTCATTGCAGTCAGGTATCTTCGCCTATTTTTTAATAAACCTAAAATTTTACAAATGCTGTTTCAAATTTTTCAGCCTTTATTAGTTGTTGTTGTTGTTTTTTGAAAGGCAATAAATTTTCTCACCTTTATTTCATGAATTATGAATAATTCTAAACTTTTTGGAGTAGTTTTAGACTATCCGGTATATGCTTTTTTCCTTTATTTGGTATGACATATTATCCCAGTTGGCTCTTATTATTCGAAAGAAAAGGCAAAGAAAAAACCAAATCATTAATTCTTCTTTGCTCGTTAACAAATAGTCGCTAAATGGCTTTGTACTTGTCTACTTTTCATCAAATGACTAGCATTTTATTAGTTAACATTATGTTAGTTCATACATTTATTTTATAGAAAATAAAACTCAATAACTGATTGTTAGAGCGTTGATTTTAAAATGATCAATTATTTTTTATTTACTTTCATAAATGGATCTTAGCATTATAGAGTTAAATATTTGACCGATTTATATATATATATAATTTATTGTCGTCAATGAGGTAAAGTACAGAAAGACTGAACAACTTCTCAGCTCTGTTAGAAGACATTTCAAATGTTAACTCACCATACCTTTTCAATTAATGGGATTTACTTCGACGCAATTCTACGAAAAATGTAAGTCCAACATATACTGTTGCTAACAGTAATGATGTTTAAACCTGGTCGTTTGTAAACACCTTTAATAACATCAACTTACGTATTCTGAAATAACTTGGAAATGCTATTGTATACTCATAAATTATAAAACTATAAGCCAGAATAACTTAGGATAAATGTGCACAATGTGCACGAAAATGTAAGTTCTTTGAGTTACTGTTTTTCACACTTATTTCATAGCCATATTTCACGTGTGAATCTTGTGTATCTTCGGAAGGCCATACATGTATGCCAAGCGGGACCCGCGGGGTTTCAAATCATTCTACGTACTGTTGTCAATCGATTTCCTCTTTAGAAGATCTCTCAGGGCGTTTGTGATACGTTTTTCGACTGCATCTGTCTTATCTTTCTGGCAACTGTCAACTTTAAACCTCAACGGGTCATTTAACACAACTTTCATCTTTGCGATGTAGTCCTCTTTGTCCATCAGAACCACATATGAGCCTTTGTCAGGTCTCAATATAACAATTTTGTCATTATTCTTGAGAGCTTTCAATGCTCTTAGATGCTCTTCAGAAAGGATTTTGGAATATGACATTAGAGAAATGAGGTATTGATTTGCAACGTCAACGAGCTTCGATTTGAACCAGCTCCTCTTGTCATCATCAACTGGAGTGAGGTCACTCAATTGATAAATAAGTTTTCGAATTGAACTGCGACATCAGTTCTTCTGACAAACGTATTTGGGATGTGAAAGTTAAATCCAAGAGAAGGTGCTTCCATTTCAATGCGATTTAACTTCAGAGTCGGCAGATTACAGATAAACTCCTCAGGTTTTTCTGGGAAAACGTCACACAATTTCTCCTTTGTCAGGGATTTCGAAAGAGTTTTGTAAAAATTTTCACATGTTTTCTGTTGAAGTCCTTGGATGAAATTGAATTATTTGATCCGACATACTATACTCAAACTATTGACGACACCATCGAAAGATCGGGCTTCAGTTCTCAATTTAGAAATTAGAGATTCTGTTGATTCAATATGTGATTTTGTAATACGTCGAAGATTTTTGATAGATGAGGGTAATTTGCAAGAACGTAGTGACTTCATGAGATGACGAAGAAAGCAGTGAGACCGCAAGCAATCATGGTAAAACTTCAATCGAGTCACCTCTCTTGATATTCTGCAACGAATTGTCGCCAAACGATTCAGTGATTTAAAAGATTCTCTGGGGAGGCGTTTTTTCAGGAATTTCATACATCTATTCCCATTAATGAATTTGAACAAAGCAAGAACTACAGTTTTAGCACCTCCTCGACACCGGTCATGAGGTGGACGTCGAAAAGTCGTCCAAAATTATCAATAGGCAAAAGAGCTCAATTCTCCTTAAGTTTTGCTGAAGCCATTTCCATCAAGCGCCTGAAACCTGATTTATGCGTCCAGAAAGAAGCGGTTATCAGTCTTTCTTTGCTCTGGTAACTGGATATTTTCACCTCTCTTTCATCTGAATGCGTAATGCTGAAAGTTTCCATTGCGTATGATTATTATTGTTCGGAATAGTGTTTAATATTGCATATTTATGTATGTATATATTTTTAGTGTATGCGTATATTGATCGATTGATTTATGTTTAAAATGAACTCTGTGCAAGTATGTCAAAATTGTTTTTGTAGATATATCTAATAATGTCTTTGGCCTGTAAGCAGCTAACGAGAAGGCAACGAAATAAATGATGGTACCATTTTATTCTGCTAAATCTCTAGTTCTTGCTTTGTTCAAATTCATTAAGGGTAATAAATGTATGTAAACTCTTCTATTCTCACTCGCATTTTTGAAGTGAAGTACAATGAATTGAAATAAATATTCTTTTTATGAGTACAGAATCAAAACTAATTAACCTTTACAGGGAAGTAGTAAACATCGAAATTGTCAATCATATCCCATAACTAATGCACGTGTACACTGCACTAACCTATGCTCTATCTTAGCAGATGGCGATATCAATGTTTATTCTAAAGTTTTCATCATAGGTCATTCATTTTGTCAGTGTTTTCTACAATAAGATATTGTTACATGTTGGTTTGAAGTAATCCAAATACTAATTGTTTTGGAAAGGAACTGTTACCTAATGGATTCTTTGAAAGTCATTGGTGAAAACTCGGGTATAAGGTACATAGGGAGTAAACAAATTCAGAACCCTCTGATAAATAATACTGTCTGTGGCTTAACATTAAGTTCAGTTAATCAAAAGAATTCACGATAAGACATAAAGTGGGCTTGGATATCGAGTGTGACAAAGTGCTATTTTCAATACTAAGATGCGTGTTTGGCATAAAATCAATCTCTTGTAAACTGTGAATAGATAATGATGAACTATAAAACCCATTAATTATAGTTAACTAAGTAAGTGAGATTTATTTTCTGGAATCGATTAACACTGCTTCCTAACATTTTCGAATGTAACAGAACTTGGTAATGAAGTGTAGCGTAGGGACATCATAACCAACTTATTTATATAATTTATTTATTAGAGAACAACACTTTCGATCTCAATATTGAAGAACTATCTCAATGCCCCCAAATATCGGTAGACTTCAGACATAGTGGAAATGTTTAGCCTAAATTTCTAGTTAGTTGTCCTGAAATCGAATTTCTCATTTATCCTCGAGATGAACATGAGTTTCACCAAAGTTTTAAACAACTTCTTCAAACTAAGGCAATATACAGCAATGTCATACCATTTACCTCAGTTTCAGAATTGCATATGTTTGGGACTAGAGACCTTAAGTAACCATCATCCAGAGACTAACTGGGACATTATATCCCTTTATGGCGGTAACATAGTATTACCACGCTTCCTTCCTATTTTTGACAACTGGAAGTAGAAAAGCAACGATTGACCTTTAATAAATGTATTTGTAATGAAGTAGTGGCGTTCAGTGTAAATTTCTTAGAAGTTTATAAGACAGTGGTAAACTGCCAAATCAAAACGCACCGTTGAATGACTAAAACTTCTGAAATAAAGTGCATTCAGAGTTTTACGCCTCCCAAATTAGTCTTAATTCAAACACAAACAGATCAATAAGAGAACTTATGCAGATTAATTACAGTTCACCTTACTATACATTTAAACAGTAGACAGAAAAGAAGTGGGTGGAAATAGGACTGTGGTACAATGGAAACTGTTTTCGTGAAGGAGAAATAACAAAAGAATGAAGATTGGCAGAAAAATATTTAGCATTGAGAAACAAAATTTGACCGCTAAATAACAAGCATTTTCACTAAGCTTAAAAAATGTAAATAAATGTGGTATTTTATTTACTTCTTTCCTTTTTCAATTAGCTTTTTTCGGTCGGAGAACCATTAAAATACAAACAGAGCTACATTCTTGCTTGTTTGTGGTTCACTACTCTTCGCCGGAGCTCACCGACAATCTAAACAGGAATGAAACAGTGGTTTCGAGTCATGCATACTACTGTTCACCCACTGAGTCGAAGTACAATGTCCTAAGAATCCTAACTTCTATCTGTTGACGAAGTGTTACTGGACAACTTGGATTTCCATCCAACATACGGCGTCATATTTTCTCTAATTCTTATAGTTTCAACCATTCAGTTATGTTCCTGAGCCAAGAAATTCACGCACATTTTTAACTGTCTTTCAAACTACTGAGGAGAATATCATAGGGGACTAGTCCGTGCCTCAAATCGAAAAGCATTGCGTCATATGATACACTATGGATTGCTATTTTACTTAAAGATTCTGGTTGAAGAGAAAACATTCCGCAACAAAGTATGCTGGGAATTCTGTAAAGTTATGTGAATATTTTGTTCAAGATAAAACTATTATTATTAGGAAATCAATGTTGTCGGTGATATTAGAGATGCGACTCATCTAGAGATAAACTAAAGCCTCTAAGTTTGAAAGTAGAATTTTATGCTTTTCTGAAATATGCCCTTTAGAATGAAGACATCCTGAACACTCCAACATTATATGTAAAGTTGTATGCTATTTTAGTCAGTTATGCTTTTTACTATTGTGATGTATATGCATTGACAGCTGTTTCATCCTAGTTTGGGACCCTTCATCTGTCCGGCACTCTCAGGTTTTCCAGTGGTCTTCTAACTGACGTCAGCTCATGATGAAATCCTCCAACCAAACAAACAAGAAATCCCTACAAAACCAATACTTGAAAAAGGAGAAGAGAACAAAAATCTAAGCCAAGATATCTTTATAACGGGTTCTTCCTCAAAAACGATACAATCGCATTTGTATGAGTGAGTTATCATAGTTACAGTTATTATTTAATTCAACATGAGATTAAAGGAGTTGGTAATATTTAACCTGAATTGAAAGTCTGAAGCTCTGAATATAGAACACAGGGGGCATAAAAATAAAATAATATGGGATTAGAAAGTAGTAAGATAGTTTTAGACAAACACTGGTGTAAACGGGATGAGCATAGCTATATATTGGAATATTCCTTTTTATAAATGAAGATAAAAGATGAAGGGAATGAAAAAACGACAATTAAAAAGCCAAAGAGAAGTATAACAATGGTAAATGCAGAGGTTGAACCATTTTCTTTTGAGCATTTGACTGTGGCTTACCGATGCAGATGGTAAGGGTTTCTTCAGTACAAAAGAAGTCTGAAACACACTGCCTTTCGTAAATTTTTGTCCACCTTGTAAGCGACTGTGAATGACGAGTCCGTTGAGATGCTCTAACAGGTGTTGATGAGGTGTTTAATTATAGCGCTCCTGTCTGAACCATTCCCATCTCTTTGCAGGTGTGCTGGGCAGCGTTTTCAAACACGTTTTGAAAGGATGCGTATGAGCCCATAACTGCTTTTATAATCTATTCTAATGTCTACGAGAATTTCAAGATAGATTATGAGACTGTCTGTTCATGTTTAGATATTTGTGTTCATTTACCTAATAATGAAATTTTAAAGTCTTTGATGCTGACTCAGAAGAATGAACTGGTGAGCATCTACTGGAATATGAGCTATTCACAGTGATCTCTGATTGCTACCAAAAAATTAATTTCGGAGATATTCGACAGAGGTCAAAAGCAAATTTTGAAGATAAGTTTTGTCTAGACAAATGTATTTGCATTTCAGTAAGCATTAAAAGCTATCAATTCTGGGTTCATGTTTTAGCGGGGAACATTTTCTTGAAAAACCCATCTTATGATTAGTTTTGAACATAAAGAAAACAAAAACCCACCTCAAAATGCACCCCCAGACGTGATGAGTTATAATTTATCCCACTGCTGAATTATGAAATTAACAAAAATAAAAATAGAACACAGAATGTTTTATTCTTTGGGAAACTTGCCTGCATTTCTTTACTGGGTCGTTTAGTTTCTTTAAAAATTGCATGTAATGTTCGTCTTTGTATATCAGTAAAGACAAGACGTGGTTTTTTAGGCTGACGATTCTCTGAGGGTTTGATTTGTTCAGGTTCCTTGCGTTTACATGTTGTAGGGCCTAAATTATTGATATTTAAAAGAAATAAATGAAACAACCCTTTCTTTTAGGAATTAAGTATTTGAAAGAAGAAAAATGCATTTATTTTTAATTAAAAATACAATCAGGACAAAATAAAACTTCAGAATTTAATTCATTTAGGTTATAATTCATAATGAACTGAATTTTCAGCGCAGAACTCTGCACAAAATGAAGCAGTTCACGTTGGTACACTTCCCAAACGCACACGTAAAGGTAAAGGAATAAATAAACGAGACAGGACTATAATAAACAGAAGGGTACGGTAGGAAAAATAACTGCAAAGAGGATATTAAGGACTTAGTTGATCTGAAACCTGATAAAGAATGCATGCATCTGCGCCAATGAGAAAGATTTTGAGCCAAGTCACCAACAATACCAGTAAAACAGACAAACAATTGATTTGCTGATTGATAAACTCCAGTAAAAAAAAGTTAATCACAAGTACAGTTGAGAATAACTGAAATTATTTCTAGCATTTATTTCCCGATAGGAATTTAAAATAATCAACAAAAGTTAATAAAGCGGGATTTATTAATATCATCAAATTTCTGCGGAACTCTTCAGCTGGATACTTTGCATACAGGGATATAAATATCATTAGAATTAGATTGGGACATTCAACACTGGTAAGATATCAAGTAATTCGAACTAAATAATATTGATAATAATAGTAGTGCCAATAATAGTAACACTAATAATCACCAGCTATAATAATATCAAAACGAGTTAAGATAATTCTAATGATCAATGATAGTTTTAAGTGAATCAGAAGTAGTAGTGATAAGGGGTAGAATAAAATATTGATAATAATAACGGTTCATAAATAAAACTTATCATCATGGTTGATTTAGAGTCACTATCACCTGGTTTATAAAGTCTAATTGCACAAGCCTCCGCAGTTACAAAGCATCTCCCTACTTCTTTGTCTGTTGATAACAGTGAATGTCTTGACAGCGGGAATATCATGTCCGTAGTCCATAAGATGCCTTGTTACTGAGCTTTCTGGCACTTAGAATTCATCTGTTTTCAACCACTTAAGCAAATGCTCTGTGCTAGTGTACAATTGCCTTTCTGTACAACCTACGTATTTGCTCCCACGGACACATTCAAAGTAATATACCCTGTTTGAAGTGTCGAGGATTGGCAGATGGTCTTCCCCAGATTTTTGAAGCACCGGTTTGGTGGTGTTAAGGAAGACGAGTTTTGAAGCATAGTAAGTTCTTTTGACAGTTTTATCAAGTCTTCGTCTAACTATTTCTTGTACTTCATCTCCTTTGAACGGCAAATTGGTATATACAAATTTCTTTGGAACTGTTTGAATAGCTTTACTGAGGTTCATTTCTTCAGAATATTTATTAGTGAACTTTTCAGGATATCCATTCTTAGATAAAATGTCCTTCAGAGTATTTATTTCATGTCCAACTGTACTGTGAGAACAAATTTTTCGTGCTTTGTCGAATAGCGTTTTGACTAAGTCCTTTTTATATTGGATTCGAACAAAACTTTTAAAATGTATGTACTATCCTATACATGAAGACTTTCTAAATTTAGATCTTTCCATTTTGTCATCAGTCTTTTTCATCAGAGAAACACCTAGGAATTTAATGGTATAATTTTCTTCGCGTTCTGTTGTGAAGTTAAGATTCAGATGGAATCAGTTGAATTTTGTCAAAATGTCTTCAACTTTTCATTTACTTCCACAGACAATAAAAGTATCATCAGCACATCTTAGATGTAATTCCATTTATTGTATATGCTGTTGCGAAATACCACCTTTTAGCACTGACAAGAAAAAACCCACAAAAGTGATCCTAGGGTGCTTCTCATTGCAACACCATCAACCTAACGAAATAGACGCCCATCGAATTGAAATTGGGCATTATTATTACATAAAAGCAACAATCTAGTCAATTTCGATGTTGGAATAGGTACTTTGTCTATTTCTCTACATACAAAGTCAATAATCTTAACGACTGGAACATTTGTGAATATGAAGGTTACATTGGAAGAGACCATATGCTTACCACATGCATTGACATCATTGATTTGCTTGACAAACTGGAATGAATCAGAAACTATATATCTTATAAAGGATTTTCGCAAAGGCTGCAATAAGTCATATAACCAATGCGCTGATCTGTCGTATGGTGAATGTATCACTCAAATTATAGGTCCTAGGAACTCTCCTAGTTTGTGTAATTTAATACGCCCATATAATTCTCGGACCTGTGACCCGGTCGGTTTAATATTCCTATATGTATTCTCGTCAATGAAATCTTTTTTAAAAGTTGCCGTAAATGCTTTATCTGTCGCATGATGTAGTATAGAGCCCCATAAATTGATCATAAAGATTTTCAAATTGCCATTCTATATCATTTTGCTTCACTTTCTCCATGGAAACACAGGACTTGAAACCCACTGACAGAATTTCTTCTTGTTCTTTTGACAAGGAAACATTAAATAAGATATGAACACAATTAGATATATCCAGTGGGAAAATATCATTTGGTGGATCAGTGAAAAGTGAATTCTTCAACTTCTTTTCTTCTGCTTCTTTCATCTGTCGTGAATTATCGTGCAGACATTTTATGACGTTTGGACAACAGATGAAGGTTAAGTCATTCTGTACGCTGAGCAGTTTGCTTGATAATACAAACAATTACTGATTTCTTCATGTTCAGAGAACAAATGTTCTTCATTTAAACAGTAAAGATTTAATGGTGTAGGGCTCAAATTATCTTTACTCAAGGATCTGTAAAATGTCCAAGGATACGTATTAGTTGGAAGACATTCTTTCAGAAAATCTCTTCGAACAGAGTGTTTCGCGATCCTACACTGTAAATGCACTAGATAGTTTAGTACATTGATATATATATCTGTATGTAGAGTATCCAGCTGTAGAGTTCCACCGAAATTTGATAAATTCATTAAGTCCTGCTTTATTAACTTTTGTTGCTTGTTTGAAATTATTTTAGTGGATAGCCTGATACATAAAGTGGGTAATGACCAATATCTTGGTAGCATTACTCACTTTTTTTTTTAAACTTGTCACTCCATGTCTAGTCCACTAAGCCAGAGCTAAACAACTTTTTGCAATTAAGAAAAAAAGGACAACATTAATTCGTGTGTAAGGCACTTTACTGTAGTTACGAATGTTCACACATGATTCCACGCATCATCCACACTAAGCAAAAAAAATATTCAATAACTTTTCTGACAGACTGTTAAAAAGATGGGTTTATATAGAATTTATTTTGACTTAGTTCAATAGTGGTTTGCAGAAAACTAGTCAAGACTATTACAGTGTTTAAATAATCATTAATAAATACTTGAAATTTACTGGTTAGTGTAGATGTTACCCAGGTGTTTGCCAATATATAATAGTCCATTTGAAAAACATTCATTTCAGCGACCTCATTATAAGCACTTAGTACTTTGTCTTTTTCATTCCAAAGAGGATTCAAGATGATTTAAATGTTTTCTTCAAGCAGTTTAAAATTTCTGAACTCACACAACTTCACCTATCGTCTTTTTCACAGATAAACTAAGCAGAAGTATAACGAGATATAATCTTGGAGAATAACTTCACAGAAAATCACTAACTCTTCCCGAATGTTATAATTACTTCACACACCAAAAATCACCTTTCTGGACATACGCAAGTGATACATATTAAACTCACTCATCTACCTAATTAGATATAAAAATCAAATTGTTCTACGACTTCTGTAAGTATATTCAAAATAAATATTACAGTCATAATAGTAGATGTTAATTAATGAACAGAAGCATGAAATAATTTTTCTAGAACTTTTTCCAAGATATTTAAAAAAAATAGAACTGGTTAGAAATTTGGTGAGGAGAAACATTTTTCGTTACTGGAAGCCACTTATTAGAAATTTGGAAAGATAATAATTTATGATTATCACTTGAAGACAAATAAGGGAAACCTAATCTAAATACAGCTCTTAACAAATCAGCAGACATGCAATCACTTATACAAAGACATCAACGAAGAAATACTTCTTCACAACGACTTTTTTTCAAGATGTACATTTGTATTTCTATTACACAAGAAGGCAGTTAGCGGTATTAAGAATTGTCCAGTCGTTCCATACGTGAAAAAATTAATGACTGTGATTTTGAGGCAGTTAGGTTTGCTGTGGATGAAATACAGGAAACATTACTAGAGAAGAGGGCAAACATTAGGAGTTTTAAAGTGTACCAAGTACTATCAAGAAATTGGAATTACGGTGATAATAATAATAATGATTATTACTATTATTACTGTTATTATAGTGAAAGAGACAAAGTGTAAAAGAATGAAATTAGTCTGGAAAAAAGCATTAGGATCAAAACGGAAAGAATTACAAAAACGTTTCTGAATACAGAGTTTGGATTTTTGTTCACGTGTGGTTTATGTTTCAGCTATACATACATAGGTGATGGAAACACACAGTTTTAGAGTAGTTGGACATAGCCCCACAAACTTTCATTTACAAATATTACCACTTTACGAACGTTAACATTGTCTTTAACTAGGTAACTGTGATTAATGCGATATCTTCACACACATCCGCTTGCTCGAATTCGATTAGATCATCGGGAGATGGTTAATATATCCCATGTCAAACCTAACAACTATCTCAGGTAAAAAAATATCAGTCTCAAAAGGTATTGGTCAAAATGAATGCCTTAAGATTATCATTAGAATGTAAATCTAGTAGTACAAAAACCACTACTAAAAATTTCATAAGTTGTCGAATTCCCTTAAAATGAAGTTCTATATTGTCCCAAAGATAGGACGACCAATAAGTCACTTTAATCACTCTACACATACGACCCATGTGATTTGAACCCTGTCGACCTAAACTGATTACTTTTACCTTTCCTAAATACAAAAATCTTCTTTGGAGTAAATAGCCTTCCACGGCAAATTAAAGTATACATCAACTGAAAATCGAAAATGTTTCTCATTACGAAAATGAATTATTGTTAAAAAATTCAACTTGGTAGATTATCAGATAAATAGTACTGATTAAAGCACATAATGAGGACTGTTGAGCAAGTGACTGTCTATACCTATAATCATATTTTTAGGTTATATATATATATATATATATATACAACGTTTACTCTCGGTCGTCATTTTTCGAGAAGGTGCTTTTAATGATAATCTAATAACAGTCTTCATTGACAGTTAAAATTGTTGGAGATAATGATTTTCCCATGAGTATTTATAAGAATCTATTTCACCAACTAATGCAAACATATAAAATCTAAAACACTTACTGGCTAAGTGCAAATGTAATCATATTATTTATGAAAAACTAGTATCTCTATCAATTTTTTATTCTTACTGGGATGAACTGAAAACACTGTGTTGAACTGAATTATCGACATAGAAACTTGGGCGAAACTACATCAGTTCAAGCTGCCACACTCTATAAAAGCATACATGGAAATGTAGTAATGCAGTGTAATGAAACCAAAATAGATGAAAAAGTTCGAGTAGGAGAACACTTGGAAGTAAATTAGCGAGCACTTTTAGAATCTGGGAGGTGACTAAGTGTTAATTTATGGGCTCTAGTGAAAATGATTTCGAGCAACATCGTTGACAGCTGCTAGTCACTGACTTCTAACATCACAAGGAATCAAACCAGACAGTCTGCGCTTTCCTACGTGGCGTAAACCAGCAGTCAAACATTCTGTGGACTGGTGCCATGTTTTAATCTTATCACCTGCAACTCCTTTCCAACCTTGTCCTATATTAGCTAAAATTGATCATCGAGGGAAACGATGACCTATTATTCGTAACACGTGTTCAGGTTATCTCAGTCTGTGCTGCTTCACAACCCCATAGAATGACCTAATTCTCTGTGTCTAGTCTTACTGCTACTCACCAAACACAAGAAGTTAAAGAAAATTCAAATGTTAGTAAAATTAAACCAAATTTTCTTTTAAATCACAAAAATCATACATTGTTTATTAACAGTACACTGTTTTTCAGTTTAGCTCCATCATAAAAATTATTCCACCCAGAATTACCGTAAATACTACTCTGATAATAAGCGCAATCAAAGAAGCAACAGTTTTTGTAAGGCATGTAAATACTTCGTCACAAATATTTAGCGAATAATCACTTGTATTCAAATCTACTTTTCATCGGAAGTGATCAATGCCTATATATAATTGTTCTGGTTAGCCTTTAAAGTATATCCCTTAAATAGCAATATCTAAACATCCAAACAAATTAATCTTAAAAAGCCGCTATAAAAGCAAGTTTTAGAGTGCTTTATTAAATGACTAAGCTACTTAGTTGAGGTCAAATTTGTCATAAATGAAACCAGGAGGAAGAATTGACAAAAGCCAGCAAGCACTGGATAGCTCCACTGCCCTAGTTATAGACTATACAAATGTTCGAGGACTGCTTTAAGACACCTGGGTGACGAGAAAGTAAGGTACTAGTTACTAATGTAGTCAATAATGGAGTAAGTAGAACTTCAACAAACTCCGCAACTTAGACCTTAATATATTTTAGCTATCTGTCAATATGAAACATGTTTCTAGGGTAAGATGTCTACATTCCCTGGGAAATGAGCAGAATACAGAAAAACCATATGTTCCAGTAAAATGTTAGAGGCGAACTGCTAAAATATATTGTACAAATTATATCACACTCACCCGCGTATCTCGGATCAGATTCTGTTGCATGGAAAGATAAAAAAAAGTCAAAAGATAAAAGCTTTTTAAATGAATTTGAAATTAAATAGTTTTTATTTTGAGTAAAATCATAAGTTAACATCACTAATCTTAATTTTAAGTTACGTATTCTGTACAGTACAATAATATTCTTATTACTGAACTATATTAATAAGACAAATACGGAAAATTAAAAGTCACTGGAACACTGTTGAGACTATGAAAGTTTAGTTCATTAGCTTTTACCAATTCCGCAACTGATATTGCATTTCAACAAAAACTAGTCTGAAATTATTCAGTGAATCACTAACCCTGTAGTCGAATGCATTTGTGGATTCCCTATTTCATTAGAAAATGTCTGGTTTGATTTTTATACAAATTCAAGTACTTTTGTCAACTGATAATGCCTAAAGTGGTAAAATGTTTAAGATTAAAATACTATTCATTTGAAATATTTCTTAAATTTCCATTTTCAAACTATTTTCTATGTAAGCGTTAACTTCGTAATTTTTAAAACCTCATCTTCGTTTTTCTCGCCATATTGTAATAATGTTCACTAAAACTAGCATCACTCGACAACTGTTTCTTCCCAGTTCGGAACTCTACGATAGCACGCACCTAACGGGGTTCGAACCTAGGACCTTCCGGTTGTAAGGCGAGCTAGTATACCATTTATCTACTGGGACCTGATTCAATGGCTCATGAACTCCTTTTTTTATAATTCGCGGGATATAGCTCAACCGCCAACCAGTATTATAGGTGAGTAACTGTTATATATATATATATATCGCGAACTGTCGAAAGTTGGAGTTCATGGTCCAATGGACAGGGTCCCAGTAGGTGAATGGTTTACAAGCTCGCCTTGTAACTGGAAGGTCCTGGGTTCAAACCCCGTTTGATACGTGCTGTTGAAGAGTCGTGAACTAATTCGAAACAACGGTCCAGTACTTCCAGGTTTTTAAATGGACTTCTAACTGATGTCAGTTCGTGACCGAACCTGTAACCAATCGAATCCCTAAAACCAGTAATCGATAGTATGCTACCTTGTTGATTAATACAGGCTTATTAATTTCACTTTACTAGAAAAGTGAATATTTGTGGATTTATAATAACTAAAACTTTTCCATAGCATAGGCTTCCTTGTTGAATAGTAAATTAGGAATCTTAGAGAACTGAAATATTCACTTTTGCCTGTACTGAATTCATAATGGAAATTTTGCTATGAATAATGCTTCTACCATTGTCGTTGTTCACCTTTCAGCAAAGAAATGAGATAACCACTAACGCTTATGCGATTATTCCTGCCATAAGGCACAAATATAGTACTGTTTGCTGAGAATTACTCTGGATGGAGGATTTAATCATGAGCTGACATCAGTTAGAGAACCACTGGAAAACCTGGGAGTACTGGACAGCTGTTTCGTCCTAGGTTAGGACTCTTCATCAGTACGCATCCACCATGATTCGAACCCAGGACCTTCTGGTTACAAGGCGAGCTCATAGACCATTGAGCCAGTGACCAGTAGGGTACAGTAGGTTGAAGATGAAGCAGCAACTCATCGAAGAAGACATTGCGAAGTGGTCGCGCTATGTCGTGAACTGGCAGAAGTTAGAATTCAAGGACCATTGGATCGGGTCCCAGTGGCTCAATGGTATACGAGCTCGCCTTGTAACCAGAAGGTCCTGGGTTCGAATCCCGGTGGGTGCGTACTGATGAAGAGTCCTAACCTAGGACGAAACAGCTGTCCAGTACTCCCAGGTTTTCCAGTGGTTCTCTAACTGACGTCAGCTCACGATTAAATCCTCCATGCAATCAAACGAAATCCCTACAAAACCAATACTTGAGAATTCCTGTGGACTTTCTTTACTGACATAATGGTAGAGTTCGTTGATGAAAACGCATAAGTATGATGTAATTTTACAGGAAGAAAGAAATATTCTCAAATTTAGATGATTTATGATAATTGTAAGCGAAATAAAAACATAAGGTGCAGTAGTATAAGAAGCCTTTATGTCACTAGCCAGACTCTCTGACTAGTGGTCTGTCAAGCCCAATTGCTAACCAGATTACTGTTTCACTTCATTCTTGACGGGTTATTCTTAAATGTCGTGTAAATACGTGACGCATTACTATGCGTTTAACAGTGTCCCACTAGCTGTCCAGCTACGTCTTATCCTGTCAGTTTTATTCCTAATCAATAAGGTGAATAGTTGACTGCTGTCTGATATCCAGACCATGTGAGATGGACTAGTAACTTGGAGGCCACTAGTGCTATTCATAACGCTACCCAAGTCTTCATTTTATCTTCAATGTCAATGTAATGCTATCTGTGATAATCCTACCAAAAATCTTCAGATGTACTGTCATTTCATTTTGGTAAAAGTCATAATATCACACCCTGAGTACAAGGTGTCCGTAGTTTACTGAAAAAAATCATTGGAAAATTGTGTGTATATTCAAGTAACGCTGTAATCGGTGAAAATGAAAACATTTTCGAGAACATCAACGTAAATACGATTATTTGTTTGTCCCGTAGACCATTACTCTAATTACCACAGTAGTTTTACTAAAAACTGCTGCTTTCCATGTATTTGTATCTTACGTGTTTCAGTGGGTCTCAACTCATAAAGCCGCTCTATTTGCGAACCGTTTCGGTAACCACCTAACCTTATTATAATATTTATGAGTTATTACCACACAAAACAGCTGAATTATACATTTTATTTTATTTTTCGTATTTTTGGTAGTATTTTGTGTATGTACATATCTAGTGAGTAAAAAACAAAACTAGTCTTATTATTTCAATAGAAATAGGCGTCATTATCTGTCCAAGGATGAAATATGATAAAGACCTTGCGAAAAGTTACCTAACCGACACTGAATTTAAAAAATATATTTGAGATACTGAATAATGAGGATCGAACTGAAGTCTGAGCTACTATTCTTGTCTAGCTGTTTAACTTACTCAGGAACTTGAAGGCTTCATATTTGAGTCCTATTCCTAAAAAGTTCTTTTCACCCTCAAAGTTACGCAACAAACGTGGGCCATGCGAGTAAAAATAGGGAAAAAAGCATATTTCGATGTTAAAGATAATGCTATTAAATAGTGGGGAATGAATTAACTTGCGTATTTAATTCACCCACACCTATGAGTGTATAAGCTAATAAGACATCTTAGTGATTGACTCATTATGTTTCACACTGAGTCACACTGCTTCGACACAGACTACCGTTTAACTGATTGATTACAACACACACTGGATTGACAGGTGAAAGTCAGTATATACTACTGAACATTTACATTTGTCATCATCGGGTTACTAATTCATTGGATCCATTAGATCACTAAAAATACTATCAGAACTTTCAGTGGATAAAGTTAATAATTGTGTATAAAGTTAAACAATGCCTAAAATGACTAACATGTAGGAAGCCATGTGTAGACCAGCTTTCACAACAATCAACATAAAGCTCCGACAACAAAAAATAATGAAACTTGAAGATTTAGTTCAAACTTTCCAGTCACACAACAGAATACAGAATTAGAAACCTAAAAATAAAACGAAGAATAACGTGGGTTGAAGGGAAGCAAATGGTAGTAATTTCCTCAGGTCACAAAAAATATATATAATGAAGTGTTAAATATTCCCATAATTTGTTCAGAACAAAATATTTAGAGCGAACAATTGTTTTCAATAAATTCTTCTTCAGGCTCTACAATTATAAATCCATTAATGTAAGCATACAATAGCCAGTAAAGGCGAAGAGAATGGATATCCACAGAGCTTCCTAAGAAAGTATATGTCAATACCTATAGACAGGGTAAAGGTGGATACCGTAGACAAGAAACCTTTGTATCTTAAGTTACAAAGGGGAAATTGCAGCTGACATTCTAAAGTGTCGACTCAATAGAGCAATAGATAGAACATTTCCCGCAGCTAAATTGGTACTAAACTTCTCAACTAAACCAGTACTCACACAGCAAGTAAAGGATAAATTACCAAAGATGGCCTCATCAATGTGCATCTACGAATTCAACTGCTCATGTGGAGCTAGTTATATTGGCCGTACTCAGAGGGCTTTATCCATGCGCGCACGTGAACATGTACCTGTATGGTTGAGTAAAGGAGTAACCAAAGGCATAAATAGTGCAGTCTTAGCCCACTTGGTAGATACTGGACACCCGATAAAACTTGACCAAGCGTTCTCAGTTATTTACCGCGTTCCTAGTAATTTATCTAGAGGAGCTCGACTACGTCTTCTATCAGTAGCTGAAGCAGTTGCAATTAATACCAGAAGACCATCCCTCTGCATACAGAAGAAGTATGTTCAACCTCTATGTTTACCTTGGCCTACAATAAAGCCAACAAATCCTCCATTAACACTATAAATTCCTTTCACGATTTTCTTTTCTTTTCCTTCTTCTATTCCTCTGTTTCATTGACAAACGTTCATTTTCGACTTTTATGATTTCATGACCTTTCTTATGATTTTATTACCTTAGGTTTAAATAGTGCTTTTCTAACTTACTATCGTATTTACAAAATCCTGTTCATTCCACTTCATTATATTCATTATTATTATTTGACAATCATTCACCAATAGTACATTTAATTTTAATTTTACACCATATCATCGTTATTATTTTACAATCATTCTTATTGTTGTTATTTTCAACCTTGAACTTAAGTCTAGACCGCCCCATTCGTTGGTTTATTTTCATATTGCCTCACACACCCTGATTACACTCACTCTTGAAACCTGTATTTTCTGTTAACTATATTTATATATATACACACATCATTAAATTAAATTATTTCATCTCATTCTGTCCCATGTTGTTATTGACCATGCATATTAAAAAACTATATGACTATATGACTATTGTTTCATCCCATCTTATACTTGTTCCACAATACACTTTCTGATATGATTCTAATTCGCCTTTACTGGCTATTGTATGCTTACATTAATGGATTTATAATTGTAGAGCCTGAAGAAG